ATAGTTGACATACAGTATTATTCAACATCAGTTTCAGAAATACAATGCGGTGGTCAGGCCTCTACATCAACTATGAAGTGGACTCCCCAAAAGGACATGGGTCCATCTGGCCCCCTAAGAAATGCTTACAACGTTATTGATTGTATTCCTCGGACTATGTTTTTCTATCCCTGAGGCCATATTGCAATTACCAATTTGTATTGTGGGGGGTGGGGATGAAGGAGAGGGGAAGGGATGAGACAATACAAATTGATTACAATTTTAAAATAGTTGAGGATATTGGAGCATGGTCTCTCAAGTCATAGAGGAACAAGAAAAACCTGAAAATCATAAAGATAGAATAAATGCTGAAATTTCCTTTCAATTGTTACAAGGAAGCAGTGATGTAAGCAGAAAGAACATGGATTTTGGATTGACGAAGAGAATAAAAATTCTTGATCTACCACCCATAAAGGAACCCGAAGAGCATGTATAATACCAACCTTTCTGAGAACCTGTTTGTCCACAGGATCTTGGTAAGATGCAAAGAGAAAATACCTAACCCCCACATTTGATTAATATGTCACAGGCATTCTTCTATGTGTTTATATGCCTTACTTAAGTACTACCTGTACTGCATTTACTTCACAATATTTATTTACTAAGTGAAACCTCATTTTAAAAGTGAGTAAGTTTAAGCACAAAGTGCTTAGGTAAATCACTTAACTTAAGGCCTCAAAGCTCCCAAGTGGCAGAGCTGAGATTCAAACTCTAGTTGTAGAGTCCATGATCTCACTAGATTTTCTTAAGATGGAGCAACACATAACTGCAACTCAATAAGTGATGGTAATTATTATTACAGACATGCCAATATATATCTTTTCTATGTCATAAAACATAAAGAAAAGAAATTCTACACCTCTTTTCACCCAGTATAGTTTTTTAATTCCCAAATGTTTTAGTTCATATCATGAATTTATTTTTATTCATTTGAAAGTGAAGGCGTCTCCTACTCCGTTATTTCACAAAATATTTTCACCCACAAGTCTGACAAGTCTCTGGTCTTTCCTCATGTCTCTGACTGGAGATGTCCACAGAGGTCAGAGGAGCCCGCAGTTCTGGCAGTTGAGTTAGCAGCAGAAAAAGGTGCCGAGAGGAAACATTCTGAATGTGACCAATGTTCAATATTATGTGTGCTTTATAATGTCTTACATTTTGTCTCTATATTTTTTCTGCTTACAATAAGACTAATAGAAATTTCCGGCCTTAGTTGAGGAAAATGCTGTGGAGTAGGAATCAGCAGACTTGATCTTAAAGGGTCAGATGGATGTTTCATGATTTATTATAGTATTCTATTTATCACATAATTCTATTTTCTTGCTCTGGTTTCACATGTTATTATTATTACCTGCAATCAGTTGTAAGCAATATAAGGAGAACAATGTGTGTTTTATTTACCATTGAATCCTCAGAACCTGGCAGAGTGAAAGGTGATAGATGAATGAATGAATGAAAAAATAGATGAATGAATATAATTAATGCTAATATTATTAATCTGCTATATCTGTTTGACATTTATGGTATCAGACATTAATATGTGTGTATATGTATGTAGACACACACACATATATATATATATATATATATATACACATACATATCACACATATATGTATTCTCATGTGTGTGTATATATTTATATATTTGCTTTAAAAAGATAAACATTTTTAAGAAAAAGAATCACAACAATTTCCTAAAATTTACTTTACATTAATTTAATGACTTACCTTTAAAGTACCATTTTCAATAAATAATTGGATGAAAAATCCGTCTACCGAATTTGAGTTTTGCTTGATATAGAGCAGGAGTCCATAGGGGCTAAAGGTCTGAAATTCTAGGGAGATGTTGTTTTGTAGGTTTAAAAATACATTCTGAAATTCTAGATAGGAATCTCCATAATAACAAACACAGCTGAAATCTGTGGAGGCAAGCAAAAAACACAATATAAGTTGTAATAGAATGTTCAATAGTTGGCTGTCACATTATTAACATTAGCATAAGGTTTTCTGCAATGGCTCATACCTGACTTTTTCCTGCTTGTTACAAGCCTGGCTGTTTTTTCTTAGATTTTATGTTACTGGTCAACATAAATAGAAACATTTCCTGAAGATGTCATTCACTGTGTATATAAGATGTTGACACAAAATTATGTTCAATGTCATTATTGTTAATTTGGGTGACTTTGAGGGCTGACAGAGATTATTGGGAAGTAAAAGAATTGTTACCTCTTTGTAGCAATACTATATTATAAGCTTCTTAAAAAACATCTTTCTCTTCTTCTCTTTCTTTCCCTTTTGCCTTCTAAATGATTATATTTTAATAAGCCTTAATATTTCAAGTAAAATATGGAGACATTTTGAGAAAAATACATTCACAATTTAATTTTTAAAATTTATAAATATATGATTTCGTGAAACTTACTTAGCTTATTTCTCTGAATAAGTTGTCAATTATTTTATCATATTATTAAAAGTTACTTTTTTTGGATAAATACTTGATTGTTTTTGGTTAGTTAATATTCCTTTGACAGTGGATTTGAGTATCTCTGTTCACTTTTTCCCTTCTGCTCCTTGTGACACACATATACTGACATCAATTCTCTCTCCTTCAAAACTTCCAAATTCTTTATTCTTTTGCAGTTAATACAAGAGATTATTCATGAAACTGAGTCTGAGTTTGCTGTCCATTATAGGTTAACACTCTTTTTAAAATCTTTAAAATTTCTACAGAGTTGATATTCTATATGGAGTATTTTTCTTATTTTAAATTTTCAATAAAGCTTTAGAAATACTCATTGTGCAAAATTATCAAACTTGTAAAAAAAAAACTCTTATAATTAGTTAAACCTCAAAGAAATTTTTTCTTTTAACTAGAAATAAAAAGGCTCAAAATACTACCAAATAATATTTGTGTTATGTAGACAAAAAAAGCATATGGGTGATTTTTAAAATTAAGTACTTTATTTGTGAAGGTGGCCCAAAGATTGAAAATATTAACAGTGCACTTTCAATTGTGACATTCTAATTGTTTTAGTTATTATATCTGTAACACAAATATTCCTTCCTTGTAAAATTCTAATGATGATGTTAAAGGCTTGGCACAATAGAATTTCACAAATTAAATAATTTGAAAAGGTTTCAGCCATGTATTCCATGTATTTCAATACATTGGGAATGGAGCCAAATATCTATTTGACTTAAAGCTCAAAATGTGAAAGAGCATATATTTTCAGACAAAGGCTAACATTGCAACATGAATATACCCAACATTGGTGAAATCAAGAAACTAGTACATATTTTTAAATGATTCAGAAAGAAATATATTGTTCAGTTGGCAATAGCTAACACAAAAATTCTTAATTTCATTATTTTAAGACATGTATTTTTATGGACTAATTTAAAAATTAAGCGGCTTTGTCATCATGATGTGAGTAGTGCTTTGTATAAAAGCCCACACATGCACTCAGTTGTAAGCTACATGAGGTCAGGTCAAGAGCCATATATGTTTGATTCCTCATTCTATCCCAAGTGTCTGATTTTCTTAAACATGTGAGACCACTTACTATCTCTTATGGAAAGTTTAATTGTTTTTGTTTAAATGTGCTTGGAAAATTTTATTCTATGTTTGGATAAAAAAATCAGGAAATATTTTGTATGGAGTATTAGACCATATATGTAGTATTTCCTATTCATATGAATAAATATAGATTCTATTTTACATCTCTCTTCACAAATCTTAATCAAACAAAAAGAATAATGATGGAAAGTACAGAACAGTTTTGTGAAAATGCGTAAAGAGTATTTCCAGTAATAATGAGCTAGGGTAAAATTTCATATATTTTTCATTATTTAGAATTAAATCATAAGTTTTTGCCTTTCTATTTTCATTTTTCCAAATAGAAGAATCTTTATTTGAGTTGTGTAACCTCAGATTATTATTTTACCTCTGAATGAGTTTGTATGCTTTTGGTACAAATAAGCAGAAAACCTAATTCCAAGTAGCTTCAGCAATAAAGAAATTTAATGGTATAAGTAAAAGGAACTTCAAGGAAAGGGCGGCTTCCAAATGGATGTTTGTGATTGCAAAAGCTCAGCTGGCTTTGCATAAAACACTGAGATTTCTTCTGTCTCTCCATTCTGCTATTCACATGGTGAGCTTTAATCTGAGACTTGCTTTTCTCCTGATTTAATATGGTGGCCAGTGGCAGTTTAAGTGACATAACTTCTTCACTCGTGTCCAGTCATTCAATTTCCTATACTTTCAAAAAAGGAAGGGAAAACTTTCCTAAGTGTAGAATGAACCTTTCCTTAGTTAACTGGCTAGAACTGAGTCACCAATGAAATCCTCGACTAAAGATGAGGGTGGGGTCAGTTCCCGCTGAGACTTGTGAGGGATGGGTTCACAGTGGACAAAATTGGTGTTCTGTTGGAAAGAATACTTCAAAATCAATTCCCAGTATATCCCCAGATTTATGACTTATTTCATAGTTAGGTCTGACTGTCAGATTCAAAGACTCAAAGTGCTCAATTACTTGTCCAAGCCAGAGACTTTCATTTTCATCTCCAGCTTTCTGCCTCTGTTGCTTCTTGATATCTCACAGCATATATTGAATATAAAGGTAAGTCTAACCACTATAAAATGTATTTGAAATTTAGTTGTTGTTGTTATGTGGGAAGTTGCCAGATTTTTTCCACATAATTATTTGAATTACCAGGGCATACTGATCCACAGTGACTCCCACTGTGTGAGGATACAGAAAACTTCAAAGCTGTTTTAGTGAAAAATCAAGTCAATAACCCTGCTCTCCCCTACTGCACAAAGAAGGGTTTAAACAGATTATAAGAATAAGGGAATACAATATTTTTAAAAAAATTAATAATGCAGATTAGGCATAACAAATTTAAATTAGAACAAAGTAAAATATGTATAATATTCAATTTAATAAGTTATGAACAATTATTCCAAAAGCACATTTTCTTTTAAATAAAACAAATACATAGAAAAAGTAAAGTATTCTTAGCTTATGATAAGTCTTGAGCCACTTTTTTTTTTTTGGTTTCTTGGTTAGCAGATCAAAAAATACTAAATAGATTTTAAAGAAGCAAAATCTGTTTCATAGTGTTTTATGTATAAGATTAAATGTGAAAGTTGGAATCTTATGAGAGAATAATTGAATAATATGCTTTTCTATATGACTGATAGTTTGATAAATTACTATAATGACTGGATAGTTTAAATAAGGAACATATATCATTTAACCCTATTTCTAGTAGATTATTGCCAATATCACTGTGACCCAATAATAACAATTAAAAGACGAGTGATTATGTATTGCTTTTGGAGTATGATTACTAGCTAAATATTAAGAAATAATTCATAACTAAAGTGCAAAATGGCCCTTTATTTCTTTAACATGTTTTAGAACTAGTAACTAGGAATAGTTGTGTATATCTGTGATATGTGTGTGTATGTACACAATTTGCTGTTAAAGGAAGTATTAATTTCAGGAAATACTACATGTATAACACAAATATAATTCATATAAGAAAGCTTACTAGACTATTTGTTAAGAAACCTATGGTGAGTCTTGATTCTTGAGTCTACCAGTAAGCAGATCAGCAACCATGTATTAGCTGCATAAACTCTCTGTGACTTGGTTCCTTAATTTGTATTATTTCTAGAAAGGGGAGATTGGATTTTATTACTACAAAATATTCTCCACGTTTAATATTTTATACTTCCATGTTCTACAAATTATGTTTAATTCACCTTAAAATACATCCTTACATAATCCACTTAAATTTATCTCAATTAGCTTAATATCTACTAATAAAGCAGAGAAAGGAAGAAAATTAACACTTACCCACTGTTTACTACATGCTAGGTCTTGTTAAATACTTAAGCTCCTTAAAAATTTTTTTCCTGGCAATTTAAAGATTTATGGTGCTTGAAAACGCTTTTGTAGGAACTAAGCATATTTTAAAATAAATTATGAAATATTTGTTTCTTTCATAGATTTTCTGAGATTGATTAGTCCATGGACTGTAAGTCAATGACAATTCATAGAGCAAGTATTAATTGTATAATGCACAAAAAAGTTTACAAAATAAACAATACTGAAATGAAAAGCCAGAGTATGCAGTTTAAGATTGGCAGACTCCACAGCGTAGCCAAAGGAAATCTATAGTTAATATAAGCTACAGAGGCAGATTTTAAGAAAATAGACGATTGCAAGGAAAGGTGAGGGAGAACTAGACAAATATTTGAATAACTTTTTTCCTGGAAGCAATAAAGAACCTTTTTGAAAGGAAGTGTAACACCTATGATCACAATATTTTCCTTTCACCAGCAAATGAAAATAGATTATCTGGGTGGGAACATTTCTTTAATAGCCACCCATAAGAATAGGAAGGAACTCTTTTAAACATACACCAAATCATTCCACTCTCTTGATTAGAAACATTTGCTGCTGCCAGTTGCCTAGGACAGAATTTCTTAGTATTTACTGTGTAGAATCTTTCCCATGCTTTCTTTCTCCTTTTGTCGTTTAATGGGGAGTACCAATTATTGTTGGCTGACTTACAGAGCAGTCATCCTTCCTATCCTCACCTGCATTACCAGTCCTGCCACGCATCATCCTTCCTGTATACGGAGTCTGTTTCTGGGATCATTATCCTATCCCGTTGGACAGACTGTCAACCCCAAGCCAATCAAGTGCTGACTTAAATAATATGTAGCTTTATGCTGGGTCCTGACACTGGATAGGGCGAGTCCTGCATATTCTCCTTCCTCAGGATTGTGTTGCTTACCATTTGCTCAATGCTTTTTTATTTAAATATTGGAATCAGTTACATGTGTAAACATCCAGTTAAATTACATAACTCTTATTAAAATTGATTTGAATGCTACTGATTTTGT